TAACAGCCGTTTCTGAGATAAGCGTGCACAAACGCACAGACAAACCGGTAAAAATTTTAAAATCCATTGTTTATGTTCTATTACGTTTATAAATTCCTCTCATAACAGTTTTTTTTCATATATCTCCAATGTACAGACATCGATCGGTTACGTTTTAATTATAGTATAGATTGTAGAGTAGGACAGAGAACAATAAAATTCGCAACATTGAAAATTTGGTTTTAAGAAAACCTTTGCCTCATAAGTTAAATTATTTATTTCTTATACAATTAACTAATTTTATGATACATATCAAAAAATATTATTAGAAGCCAAACTCAATTTATTTGGTAAACAATAAAAGTAAATGGTTCAGCGATAGAGACAACTGATTTAAAAAAAATTTACCAGTCAACCACAAATAAATCAATGCAATCCGATGTTTGGTTTGCGAAAATACGTGGACCATACGTAGACATACGTAGACATAAAAACCTAACACACTTGTTAAGAAGCCCATACATACAATATACATGAATCACGCCATTACATAAGATATAATATAGGTCGAATTGATAACCTCAATAAAGTGTTTTCATCTTCAACTTTTTGTTATATTATCAAATAATAAAGCACAGTTAATTACGAAAAGCGTTAAGATCCCCATTCAACTTTACAGCGGTTATTTACCTAATTTATTGACCTACCTTTTAACTTTAGTGCCTATTTATTTTAATATTAATATTCTTACTAGTAATTAATTTCTGATCGTTTGTAAGTTGTACATGACTATTCGCATTATTCCAATGTGACTTTTCAATTCTAGCGAAGAGACGAAACTACTCGATGTTTAATATTGCTTAAGCACTAACTTTCCGCCAGCGGTTTCACCCGCTTAGACGTGTTTTATACATATGAACATTCATTAATTCATTCAACATTCATTGATGAAAACCGCATTACAATAGGTTGTGTAGTTTAGAAGGTCTCATAGACACAGCGCACAGACAGCAGACAGGGGGAAGCGACTTTGTTTCTTACTGTGTATAGATTACATAGCTTAAGTTCAGAGTTTACAAATGTTTGATAGGTATAATCATATTTTCTGTCATTGAGTATGTATCTAGGCGTGTTAATAACTACACTTATTTATATTTAGTGCTCTAACTTAAATACAAACTTTCTGATTGGATTAATGCAATTTGAACATCTTCACATATTGCTTATTCCACTGTGCATTGCTATGGTATTTTGTAATACAAAAATAAATTAAAAAACTAAGACCCGATTGCAGCTAAATCACGCTCTAAAAAGTTTGAAACAAGAAATTTATTTTATAGCTGTAGCTATATTACAATCGCGATGACCAAAGTACAGCCTAGTTGTATGACACTGATCATAAAAAACCAACCGTTGCGGCAGTGGGTTTTAATTTTTGAACTTATTTTTTTATTTCATAAATTTCCTCGACGTTAAATAAAAAGTTAAATTCACTAAGTCTCAGCAGATACTTTCCCCAAAAAGATACATAAATTGTAAGAATGCCTTAAAAAAATGTCAAACCTGCAAAACTGCAAAAAGGATGAGATTCCTCAGAAAATCCTGCAGCGGGACGTAGGAAATTTTTAGGCCAGGTTACTAACTACAGAAACTTTGGTTCAGCATGAATCGAAACTGGTTTTATACCGTTCTCGAATGAGTAAAGACAATTCGAGTTATATCAATTTTTTCCTCTTAATTGTCTTATGGTACTCTTTTTATTTTTTTTTACATTGAAATCTCTTTACTTAAAAGTTGGTATTTCACTGCAGTCTTCACTGGAGATACAGATTTATTCACCGGTCATGAGGCTCATGCAATATTACATGAGTCTGTGGGTCGGTGCAAAACTGATGGAGCTCAGTCAAGCACCTCACGAAAGTATATTTTAGTACACGATTTCCGTCAAGTGTGCAAGGTCGAATTTAACACCATTTATTTTTTTAGTCCTCTGTCGTTCTGTGTCGATCCTCAGACTTTTATTGACAAACAAACTCGCTTGAGCTCACAGAAAGTTCGGAGAGAAAGCGGTCACAGAAGACACTTGATGGGCGGGAAGTGTATCATTCACTATCTCTCAGAAAACTCACACAGCAAACTCACACAGCAAATGTTTGATCAAACAAGAAAACTCCTGAAGAGAGCAAGTCTAACTGCTGAACGTAACATATATGCAGTATTATTTGAGTCTCAAACTTCCTTTTATAGAGAAATGCGGTCAAGCTCTTAAAAATCTCGGACTTTGCGGTATAGAGAACGAGAAAATAGTTTCGATTATCGGCAATCAGTATTGCATATAACTGACTGTTAACAAGCCGCGTAAATTATAACCTGTGTCCTCCGAATATGACGTAGCTTCACGTAGGTGAAAGAATTTTTAAAATCGGTTCAGTGGTTTCGGAACCTATTCGATGCAAAAAAAAAACAATGAAATTTTTCATCATTATAAGATTTTATATAAGCGCAATCGATTTACGATGCGGTTAAGAAAGTAAAGTCTTTATTGCAAAACGAAAAATAATACATTGAGCATATTACGACTAGACAGATGACAAATAATATTAAAAAAACATCAATATCACTAATACGAGTATACCTAATGTACGATAAAAATGGTAAGACACATGAGCGAGCGGAGAGAAAAGTGAGAAAAAAAAATAACTATCGTAAAGGCCGTTCATAGGGTGGATGACCAAACCTCTTTTCCGTGTTCTGTGACCAAAACATTATTATCTTGAGCTCCTCCTTGTTTCGGAATGCAATTCAAGCGTTGGCCCCGGCTACATTAACAGTCGTTAACACCCACCAATTCGCATTGGGCCCCCGTAGTGCTATAACGGTGCGCCGTACCACCGTCTATTTCGTCCTAGGTTTCAGCATGCAAAGTTTTTGTCTTTGATATTCAACATCATTTCTTTTTATTATTCATCTATCGTAATTTGAAATTTTGACTTATCAAATATGCTTTTTATGAATGTCAGTTCGTAAAAAATTCTTCTGTTTGATCATATTATTTTTAAATATAAATATTATAATAATTAAGATTTGTGATTAAAATAGAAATTATAAATTATAAATATATCCTGTAATAGCGTCCAAGTTTTTATTAAGAAACCCAAAAAACGGTATGTATTTATTTTATTAAGCAATTTTAATTTTATATTTAGGTAAACATACGAACTATTTTTATATTAATTTTTGTTTGTTACAGTTTCTTTCCATTACCCTTTATTACATGAAATAAATCAATTCTCAGGCTAGTCAGCCTTTTCATAAATTCACAAACAGCCAAGCATCGAACCCGTCACAGCGCGTTGTGGACCAATAATTCTACTCGTTTCGATTCCATCCACAGAAAGAAAGAATTCTCCTGACATACTTTCTCACGCAGATGAAGTCGCGGGCACAGCTATTATTATTTATATAAGATATTTGATTTATTTTTCTATTCCAAATACATAGCTTTGTTTGTTTAAATTCGCCATTTTGTAAATTTACGCTAACTTTATAATTATATTTGATCAATTATGCATTCACAATGCTATACGCTCGTTAGTAGCGAAAAAGAAACAAGTGTTTGAATAATTCGTCAGTCCTGTTAGGTCCTGGGTAGCTCAGTGGTTAGAGCAGTCGCCCGATTTGCAAAAGGTCGTTTTTTTTTAGTCCCATCTCAGAGTACCTGAGACAGCTGAATGTTTAAACATATTTCATTAAGAATAACTTTAATAATTCAGTAAACTAAAACAACTAAATAAAATCATTGAGTAAATATGTAAATAATAATACAAGAAAATTGTATAAGAATTTTAACATATTCATTTATAGAATCAATAGAATATTCTTACAGCTATAGCTAGATTTATAACGAGATCACTAGGCGATTGAATTAATGAAAGATTATCGAATACTCTATCTATAAGGTTCTGTTTCTGTTGTGACTGAAAATCCAGGTCTCCTCCCACGTATTTCCAACTTCATTTAACTATGGGTCCTTTAAAACAAATGGTATGAGACTTTTTAGCAGGCGAGAAAGATTGTGGTAGCTTTCAGGAGTTACATGGACTTCTTGATATAATAAGCTATTGGTATTATTTGACTGCAATAGCACTTTCCATCAGGTTCTTCGCAGTCGTGTCACAATAAAAAATATCGGAGTTAATAGCTGCTATACATTTTTACATTTTTTATTGTATAATAAAATAGGTACTAAGTATTTTTTAAAATTGTAATAATAACTTGTATGTTTTGATTAGATTGCTTCGTAGTTAATTTTCCATGTAATGAATTTTTGTTACTGGGTAGGTAAATTAATTTTAAAGGTAAGTTAAAACTAAAAAAATGTAATAAAATCTACATTAAACTCTTAAAATTACTTAGAATTTTTCTCAATTTATATCCTGCTTAAGTTTTGTTGTAACTTAATTCATAACGAACTCCCAATAAAATTAATAAATTTAAAATGGTGCATATCAAATGTTAATACAAAGTAATGGAAAACATTGGAGTTAGAGTTTGTTTTTAATTACAAAAAAAATGTTATAAATAAATGGAATAGTCTAACTTTATGTCAAAGAAATTTCCGATGAAATAAATACCAAATCACTTTAATTCATAAAATCTATGAAAGCACATTATCTAACGAAAACAAAGGTTGCTTCTAACCCTGTATAGGGCTAAGTAATTTTTTTAAAGCTACTATTCCAAATTTATTAATTATTTTATTTCTTTTTAAATATTGAATAATTGACTTTTTTTGTATAAATTTGATATTAATTCACAGCTTTTTTCTTAAATATTACTCATAAAAATATCGAAATAATGTTCATAACCAAATCCATCAATAAGGCTTCCTAATTTAAAAGTTAATTACTTTAAAACACTTTAAAATACCTATTCGACATTCACACTCCATCAAATAATAACTAAGACACTTTCAAAAGTAATAACATTTTTTATATTTCAAATTTAAATACTATACTCACCTTTTATTTTCACGCAAACATTAAAAGTTATCCATTTACACCATATAACTAACTACTTTACACTGAAACACTTATTCGTTTATTCAAAATCACTTAAACTAATTATTTAACTACACACTGATCAATTCTTTGTTATATTTAATTATAATTAAGTTTATTCAAGTTTCTGAAGCACAACATGATAGAAATTCAGAGAAAACTTTCAGAAGAACGCGCGACAATTGACAAGGTCACACGTTACACGACTGTACCGCGAGCTGCTTCTACGAACACTGAGGCAATTCGAACGCCGTCAGCCCTTCGTTTTCAGGGCTGCTACAGATAACCTGTAAACAGTCATACACAGTCGGATTCCACCGGAAAACGACACGATACGTGAGGAAATTCAATACGTCAAAATTGATAATATTTCGTTTATTGCTTTACACTTTGAAATTCATTTCACGTTCTGTACACTACTTGCCTTAAAGTAACATAAAATGTTATGTGGCTTGAATATAATGTTCGCTTTGATTCGTGTTGGCTTGGATTCTTAACTTATGATATAATATCTGGAAAATATTCTTAATGAACAATGCTTAATAAATCCACCAGCCTCTGAGATGGGTCTTCGAAGCCCTTTCGCGATACCATTTTTAACTATTTTTTATTAAGAATATTTTCAAGTATAGCATTGTGAATGCATAATTGATATTATATTTTATATCTGCTTCTATGTATTGAAATTCATAACGTTTTATGCTAAGGCTTTAAAAATAAAATTATATACATATTTCTATTTGAATCTTCTAAGAGAAAATGAAAATATAAATAATTGATTATTATATTTGATAAATTTTGCATTCACAATGTTATATTGAAAAATAGCCTTAATGAAAATACTTAAAAAATCCACGTTGTCCCTGGCACTCTAAGATGGAACTAGAACCCATGACCTTTCGCAATCCGGGTGACTGGAGTCGTTAAAAATATAAAATATTACAGTGTTATTACAAAAAAGATAAACACGCATTGAACACATGTTTAAAAATTGTTCTATTTGAGCATTGGTTAAGGCAAAACAACCCTTAAACATTGTTTAAAATTTAAACACATGTCATGTTGACACATGATATGTTGTATCTTACCTTTCACAATATTTCACTATAGTTTTGACTTTGATAAGAATTATGTCTTTGAATTTAAATTAAAAATGATAATTTTAGATTAAATATTTTCATTTACAAAAAATATTAACTAGTGTGTTTAAAAGATATCTTTTTACGTCTAAAATTTATTATAAGTTTGTATACAGCGTGCATAGATTTAAACGTGTATGAACGAATGAAAGCCAGTAGTACGAATGTTTCTTTCTTTCTTAGACAATGTTTAAAAATGAATTTGTAATAGGGAAAATTAGACATCATTTTAAACAGGGTTTATATTCTTAAACACAGTTTAGATAAACACATGGTAAAACACTGTTTAACGTCTCTTTTGTAATAACACTGGTAGGTATATTTTTTTACTCATAAAAATTTATGAATATATGTATTAACTGTATTATTATGAGTAGCTCGGTGGCGTAGTGGATAAGCGCCGCGGCCCGCGATCGTAGTCGTTAAGCAACTTTCGCAAGGGTCGGTCACGGGATGGGTGACCAAAAAATTATTATCTCGAGCTACTCCGTGCTTCGGAAGGCACGTTAAACCGTTGGTCCCGGCTGCATTTGCAGTCGTCAATACCCTCCAATCCGCATTTGGCCAGCGTGGAGGGTCATGGCCCATCCTCCTTAACCATCCATAAGGAAGGCCTGAGCCCCTGCAGTGGGGACGTAAAAGGGCTGGTGATGATGATGATGTGATATGTTTTAATAATAGTAATAATATTTCTTACAAAATATTCCAGTACAAATTTTAAATGTTATGTAAAAAAACAAAGGAGTAATCCGTAGGATAAGTCACCAATTGAAACATTTATATCCATTCTAATATTATGAAGAAGTAATGTTTGTAACTTTGTTTTAAATAAAAAAAAAAATTAGACAACATCACATGCTCAGATTCCAAGATGAGTAACGGAACCCCTCGTATTATGGAGTATCTGAGACAAGAAAGTTACTACAACCCAGACCCGACAAAATATAGAAAAGTCCATTTTCTACATTGACTTGAAATCGAACTGAAACCTCAGCGGTGGCGACACCTTGAAGCCGGCGTGCGAACCACTTTACTATGAAAGTCTTTTGTTTGTAAAGAGTTAATTTCAGAAATACTTATCAAATCAAGAAAATTCTTACACTTGCGGATAGCTACATCATAAGCGGAAGTCATATATTATAATTATAAATGCAGCGTAGTCATAGGGAAAACACTGAAATCCAATGTGCATTATAAGTATATTGTTTTAAACTTCCATGGTCATTTACATTAGAATGATAGTTTTCTATGAAATTACTATAAACATGGTAGCAATCCCGTAGAAAACTATCAGTATAAGTATGTTTTATTCATGTTTTTTTTTTTATCTTTCCATCTACCGTATCATAATCCTTTCAACGTATGCGTTATCTTTAGCAAATATAAAAAGAAGGCTGGTTAACGTTTACAGTAATTTATGTGTATCGAAAAAAACCGTTTAGTGTATGCGGTATAAAACGAAATAAATATTCTTAATATTAATTTACAAATTATGGAAGTAAACATTTCGTCTTCAGCTTCCCAACGAATGTCGGTTTGTATTTTTTTAATAAGTACTTACCGCCATAAATTCCATTTCAGAAATTCAATTTATTTCCCTTCTCTGGGTTTTAGTGAATTAATAAAAAGGAAGCGTTTCATCTTATTGTTTTTCTACTGTCTAAATTCTTTATTTATCTGGTTTACCTGCTTAATTTTGGCCAACTTAGGCCTATCTTTTAAAGTTAATTGTTTATCTACACTAATACGAGTGTTATAAAAAGGAACTTGATTGCATTGCATTGAATAGACTTCGAAATTATGTGACAGATATTAAAATCTTACGGGAAGCTACATCATACGTGACATAAAATGTAACTTACGTGGACGAAGTCATGTGAAACAGCTAGTTTACAATAAAGCTCTTTTCAAAAATTTAAGGTAAATCACTCAATGTCACAGTGGCAAGCGCCAAATGATGCTAACGCGCTCGGTCTACGATACAGTTGAGCAACTTTCACAAGTGCTTGTCATAGGATGGGTGACCAAAACTTTACCATATCGAGCTGCTCCATGCTGAAGAAGACACGTTAAATCATTGTTCCACACTGCATCTGCAGTTGTTAACACCCACCAATCCACACTGTGCCTGCGTGGTGGTACATGGCCCATTCTCCCTATTCGATTCCATTCATGGGTAAAGCCTGAGCCCCAGTAGTGGGGACTATAATAGGCTGGTAATGAAGTCACTCTACATTTAGGCATGTATTTGCTAGTCATAAGTTTTATATAACTACGTCAGATGTATCATATTGATACGTGAAAATTTGTGAGGATGGTATGTATGTTTGTACTCTTTTACGCAAAAATTATTGAACGGATTCTGGTAAAATACGGAAAATTACTAAAGACGGAAAATTCTAAGGCTGAAATAACAAATAGGTTATTTTTGATCTTTCTAATTGGTTCCCTTTCGATAAATGTACTGTCAAGACATGTAATAAAACACGCGGGTGAAGCCGCTGGCGCAAAGCTAGTGGCATTATAAGTTTCTGAAACAGACGACTTAGTACAAGTGTAGTGAGTCAATATACTTGATATCCAGCGTGTTATATATAGTTGTATTTTATGATTTAGGTATTTAGCTCTTATAAGTTCTTGAATTAACTTGAAACTAATTAAGGATTAAAATAATACAACTAAGTTAAATAAGTTTAACAACTAATATAACTTTGAAACCAGTGTAAAAGTTCACGAAATAATGATTTCTCCTAAGGGAAATTTCATATTTAGCTTAAATAATATCCATTTCATATTCACATCAGGTAAATGAAGCTATAATTTACACGGAATATGTATACAATCATGTTCTTTAGTTAATATAATATTATATTCCACACAGGTTAATCAACGACCTTTCTAGACTTTTGTCAGTACATAATATACATAAATTAACGAATAAAAATACCGACCTTTGCTGAGTTTATGGAAATATTTACAAAAAAATAATAAATAAGGTACTGCCGCCTAATAAAGACTCGTGTATTTCACCACTGAAGTACTAAACAGTTAAAAGAGAATACGACTCGATTATAGTACTACACAGACCAATCAGGGGTGTGATCATGACCTAATTCTCTAGTCATGACTGGCCATAGGATAAGACATCTTAAAATTATTACGGCGATATTTCACTACATTTTACTACTTTTGACGACGTCTTTTAATGGATCAACGACTAACATTGCCTTGCGTGGTCATTAGTTTATAGCAACATTACTCACACACATTTCACATTCATTTGAGCTTAAAGGCGTCATGAAACCCTATAATAAATGACATTTGTGTAACTGACCAATTAACGATAAAAAATTTCAAATTTAGAACATTAATTAGAAGTTAAAGTCATCTTTAAACCTTAATGGAATGGATTGTGCAACCAACAGTTAGTTGATAAGACTGCTGTCGAATGCATAATAATCATTCTTTTACATTCGTTCGATGTTATTAAAGTCGTTAAAGTAGTTAAATGAAACGATAAATCGCCATAATATTGCGAAGATTTCATATCCTGGGGATAAAGTTATGGTTAGAGAGCTAGGCGGTCGCACCCCAGTAATAATAGAATACTATAAAGCTGTTTCCGTTGTTTTAGCACTCCAGTGCTCCATATCAGTGGACCTTATTTAATTTACTTCAAGTAGTACCCATAATGTTAGTAACGATTCTTTTAAAAATAATTTTAGTAAATACAAGATATGAATATAATATCAGACATTCCAATGAAATCAAATTAAATTATATTGAATTAAAATTTAGTTACATAATTTCATTTATTCTATTTCGTGTGATACTGTAACCACTTCTGTGAGAGATTCAAATCCCACCGATCAACAAAAACTCTGAGAATACCACTAGTACTACCGCGTAAACGAATCAATGCAGAGGCGTAACGTTTCCTCATAATGGCGCTGAAATATCTATACGAGCCTCTGCAAATATACCAGAAGCACTACATCGCCACGGCAGCCCCAGTAGCACTCTCAATGCATTATTGTATTGGACTCGCAGATCACCGAAGGCTCACTGCGTATAGACAACCCACAAGCTGCACGTA